TACCAGTGCTAAAACTGTACTCACTTATCTACCAGTTATGTGTTACTTATTTATTGGATATTTACTTTAGTTACTTATTTACTGTTTTAAGTTCACCCGTTTCCAGTTAGTTTGTTTTCTTTGTGCACGTTATGATTTTAACGTCAACAATTGATAGTGGAATGTATTACAAATGTAAACTTCGTATTAATATGATAGAATTAAGCTGCGGTAACAACGTTAAAGATATGAATGCATGCGGGGTATATGGAGGTGCGGGCTATCTGAATTTTTTTTACACAAAACGCTATTTTTGCGGGGTATATGCGTCTGCGGGTTATATGCGTATGCGGGCTATATGCAGGAAAATACAGCAATGGGGGCCCCAAGAGGGGCTCGGCGTTCTTCGAGTTGTTGAAGAAGATCCACGTCGGGTAGAAGAAGCCACTAGCCACGTGGTCCGGGACCCAGCTTGTGGTCCGGGCTGGGATAGCGAACCATGTCTAGTTCTGCCATAGCGTGGCTAGATGGGCATTCAACACCCAAGTGTAAGTTGTGTTATGTTATGTTGAGTTACTGTAATAAATAGTATTTCTCCCAAGACAACGTCTGCGACTCAGTTGGACTCACTACAACTGGTGTCGGAAGTGGCCAACTTGCTAAGCTGTAGCTAGCGGTAGACAAGTCATGTCTACACGTCGCAGAGTTCATGTATGGGCGTCAGACGACGAAGACGACGAGAAGCTGAATTCCGCCCACGGCTGTTAAGAAGGTGCGGAGGCGCTGCCGGCGGAGCAGAGCGCAGTTGGGGCGCGCGGCGCCTCGCCTTCGTTGGAGGTGCTCGTCAGGGACGCGCACAGTCGTCTCGCTGACTCACTAGAGTCCAGATTCCGGATGTCATGGAGGTCGGGTCAGGACCTGACAGTCTGGGTGAACCCACGAGAGCACATGACCGGACAAGGGGGCACGGGGGCCCCCAGAAGGAGGTGAGTGGGCCACGTGATATAGACCCAGAGCGTCCGCGAAGGATCGAGAAATTACACTACAGGAGCTATAAAGCCAAGTCCCGAGAGGGAGCGTGGCTGGAATAAAGTCGCCTTCTTCAAACCTCGCTCTTCGGTCTCCGCACACGACGACCAGATGGCGTTTTGGCTGTTCTGGTTCAACCATATAGAGATTCCGTTCAAGTGGTTAGGAATGGTGGTTACCACCTTACATAGTTAACCCCTAATGTACATAGTTAACCTTGGAACGTTCAGCAGTGTTGGTTGTTAGTGAATAAACGTGTTGCCTCCATGTTGAGCAGTGTTGGTTGTGTTCGTGAATAAACGTGTTGCCTCCAAGTTTTGGTGTGCGCCTGATTAGAACCCACTACATAGGTATACATGCCTATGGGGGGGGGGCAAAAATATTTTTTTAGGGGGGGTCGACAATTTTTGGAAGCCTTTTAGATCAACTATTTACCCTCCACTTTCTATCACTTTTTGGCCAAACAGAATGCCGGGCTTTCACAATAACTTTGTATTTGTGAATGTATATGTTATGCTTTTAAGAGAAGACAAGTTTTGAAATATATTTTTCCCCCAGGCAATGCCGGGTACAATCCCGCTAGTAATTGATAAAGCGAGAATCGGTAAAGCTTGAATGTGAGTGATTACTATTATCACGACTGATAATACATACCCCTAAACAATTTAAAAGCCAATAATAACTTGTGATTAATGTGAGAATCTATTAACTGTTTAATTGAAAACAAAATGATCTTGAATTCATTAAAGTCGGAATAGCTGTTCTTTATAATTGACAATCGCTCCTGATCATATGCATGCATTTCTTTGATTAAATGCATAATAATTGACTATTCATGATACTCAATGATTGCGTCATAATACAAGGAATAAATCGCATAAACATTGAATTTTTAAAAAATAAATTAATGAATACCTTTATATCGAGGGTACTCACACTTTAAAAAAACCTTTTTACATATATTACACAATTGTAATATTCAAATTAAGATAACCATTCATATTTTAGTACTCTTTGGTTCTTTTCGGTAAAGTCACGTAGGTAAAAAATAAAAAACAAAAATCACGACGTTTCGGCCACAACACAAGCGGCCTTCATCAGGTGATGGGATCAGGCTGTCTCGAGGACAGCGCTGGAGTGAAACACAGCCACGCTCAGACCGCGACCTTTAAGCTGTGTGCGAGGAAACAAGGTGCCTTAACAAAGGAATTAGCATAAAAATTAGCATTTGATTGGCCGACTTAGCATAGAGGTGGTGTACATGCGGGTGTCCATGCCGGTTGGCGCGGGGGGGGGGAGGGGGTTTACCTATTGATGGTGTGAAAAGGGAATTTAAGAGCTGCGAAAGTTTGGGGTACCACTACTTGAAAAATATACTGTACCATTGAAAATTAGTTTAATGTTTGGTTCGATTTAGAACATCTTTCCAATGGTTGCTTAATTTGAAACCATCTTCTCGGTTGAAATTGTGTCTGTGTTTGTAGATCTGAATTGCCTCGTGAACAAATCTCTGATAAAAACCCGTGGGTTTGCAAAGAACCTTGGTATCGGAGAAAATTATATCGTGATCACCCACAGCGTTGTAACAATGATCAGCTACGGCAGAAGAATTCGTTTTGCCGTGTTTCAAATCTGATTTGTGCTCGCGAATTCGGTCAGAGACATGTCGCTTTGTCTCCCCGATATAGCAATCACCGCAGGTACAACTCAATTTGTAAACCCCGGGGTACTGTAAGTCAGGAATGACATCCTTCACGGACGGGATCAGATCACGAATTTTGTGTACTGTATTGAACCGGACCTGGATCTTGTGTTTGTTTAGAATTTTGGAAATCTTTTTAGTAACGCCTGCTATATATGGTAGTGTCATGGTTTTGACCGGAGTATCAAGTGGTTGTTTCTGTATGGAGGGAGAAACAGCTTGGCGGATGGTACGGTCAGAGTGTCCATTCTTTTTGGGGCCAGGTGTGCATGTTTTAATTCACTGGTCAGGTGGTGTTGGTCCGAAATGCAATGAGCCCTATGGTATAAAGTTTTGATTACAGACTTATTTTGGGCTGGGTGGTGGTGGGAATCAGGTTTCAAGTAGGAATCTGTGTGGGTGGGTTTCCTGTAGACAGAATGCCCCAATGAGCCATCAGGTCTCCTCTCAAACAGAACATCTAAGAATGGTAGCTTGCCATCTTTCTCCACTTCCATGGTGAATTTGATGGCGGGATGTCTAGAATTGATGTGGTGTAGGAAAGGTTCAGAGCTGGGAGGCCATGTGGCCAAATGACGAAAGTGTCATCCACATCTCTTCCACAGGGAAGGTCTGAGGGTGGAAGTCTGGATGGCGTCTGATTCAAATTTCTCCATGAAAATATTGGCTATCACTGGTGACAAGGGGGATCCCATGGGGGTACCCTCATTTTGTTTGTAGAAGGAGCCATTCTAAGTAAAGTAGGTATTGTTGAGGCAGTGCCTAACCAGTGCAGGTGTATCGGGGTCTAGTCCATGTTGGACCAAATTTTCAATTATTTCAATGGTATCAGGTTGTTTTATTTTTTACCTACGTGACTTTACCGAATAGAACCAAAGAGTATGGATCCTTGCAGTCACGAACGCTTTAAATCTAGAATTCATATTTTAGTAGTTTGAATAATTTTCTTGTTTATAATTGTCATATTGCACACGTAATATTTAATACGCATTTTTTCACCTTTTTCAACGGTTTTACTTAACTTGACTCCTGTCGTGGTCAAATCTTGTAATCAAAATTTAGTCTACTTTCTGTTGTCCAATCAATTCAAAATTTTGCACACGTACTCAAATCCGGTGACAATGCATGGCTGTATCAAAAGCGTCAATAATTAATATATTAATTCGCTGCTTTAAAGCAATTTACATTTTGTATGGACGCCTTATTATTTATATATATATTTGTGTAGGTCAAAAACGCCACGGTCCCTAAACTCTCGAAACGCCTCGCCCAAGAAGCAGGCGCCACGTGTCTCGGACGCGCCTGCTCCGTGTGAAAGAGTTACGGCCACCCTCACTCCACACAAACAAAAGTTTACATTGAAGATTCATTTATAAAGTAATCACTTAATTCAAGTAAGCGTTGATGTGGGAGCAGGCGCCACATCATTGACGTACTTCTCGACCGTGAGTTAAACGAAGTTGTGAATAAAACCGTTTTTACTTTTTTAAGGAGTTTATTTTTGCGACAACCCAATATAGACAACAGTACAATGACCCCATGTAGAGGCGATTTCATGCGCGCTTCTCCAGGAGCGCTAAGCGAGCTCTGCCTGTACAAGGGCACCAACACCGACGCGGTGACGAGCAGCAACAGCTGAAAGCAACCTGCAGCTATGTATGTGGAACTTCTTTCGCACCGTACGGATAAATGGACAAACGGAACGCCGCGCTTTCTTAATAGCTTAGTATTTGTGTATGTGTGTTGTGTTATTTAAGAGAAGTTTTGAAATGTTTTTTCCCTGGGAAAAGCTGGGTACTTCCTACTTGTTTGTTCTAAATTCATAGTTTTTACCCCCTTTTTATTTTTTATTCAAGTTACAGTGTTAATGTATTCATGGGTGTGTGTAAATGTGTATGTTATTTCACCTATTTTCCTGAGTGTAATACTTAATGGTTATTTTTTAAATTCTCAGTTTTAACGGTTTGTCTGTTGTTTTTTTGCTAATTAATCAGCATGTGTTTTGCGCGTTCGTATTTTCGTGCGTGTGTAATTAAATGAGTTGGGGCAGTCCTCGCTTTACGACCATAATTAGTTCCTGACATCCGGTTCATAAGTAGGAACACAATAATGTACTGTATTTAAATGCTCATACGGTCTGTTATGAAATGTGTTAGGGTTCAGCAAAAAAAGGGAAACATTATTAAAGTAAAAAAGTTATAAATATTGTAGATTTGCATGCAATGCTGTATAGTAAATTAAATAAAACTAAAAAGAATGTAACATGAAACGAAAACAAATATTCACTTACATTGAGTTCTGATGCTGCCTTGCTTGTAGGAAGGGGCACAATGAGTCACTACAATTGCACAAAGACAAAGATCCCCGGTATATCATGAACAGACGTGGGGCAAGAGCTGTTTGCGAGCACCTATGAAGGCCGACACGGCACACGAGAGGGTGAGTGGGTCCAGCGCCACGCCCGGCCGCCTTTGTCTCCCGAATGACGATGTTTACACACCGCACTAGGTATTCTAAACTATACCATGGGACGCGTTTGCCAGTATCAAAGTATGAAACATAAGAATAAGTTTTACCCTTTCTGGCAATAAAACAGGTGTTAAGATGTTGACACCAAATACTTTTTTTCAAGGCATCAGGTCTGCATTAACCACACGTACTTGTGGCGAGTATGCAAACACACTCTCTGGATATATGCATTGTCTTTGAAACTGATTGACTACACCAGAGACAGCCTTCTTTATGGCCTAGTTCTGTTTGTCTTTTGGCGATCTCTCGTCTGATACTTGTGAGGCTAGGCCATACAGAATGCTGTCTGGTGTTGCCAATTCGTTTCAAAGACAATGCATATATTATCTGAGCATGTTTGTTTGCATGTTCACAAAGTATGTGTGATTAATGCAGATGCCTGCAAAATGTATCTATTTTGGTGTTTGAGCATCTTAACGCCTCCCGTTTAACTACCAGTTCTTAGTTTACATCAAAGAGCCTCTCAACTCAATAGACTTCACTCGGGAAATAAACGTCTTGATTGATGGTGAAATATCGTCCACACGTTCCAATGCTGAAAAAGTAACCGCAAACTACGGAGTCGGAAATATGCGCAGAAGCATCGCACTCCCCAATGCAACAAAAATAAGTTGTCTTAAGGCTCCTGAACTCGATGATCGAGACTCGGTGAGGTAGTCAGCCAGGATAAGACAAATTAAACAATTCAAGCAAATCAATCAGGCAAGGGCAGGAGGCAAGCCCTGCATAGCTAGGCCCCACATCGCATTGTTGCAATGTCACAACCTGGACATCAATCCATCATAGCTGCTACTCAGCTGATGTCCCTACGAGAGAAAGAAGAAGCGAGGCTTTTACCTGGGTAAACAACAATAATAACTACGATGTAAACATCTTACCTCGAGAAACAAACGAAGTAGCGATCAGAGAGAAGCAGGCTCGAGTCTCGTGACGTCACGCGGAAGGTGCCTGGTAGTGGGGGTGACATTACGTCACTAGCGCTGTAAATAGTTTCGGGCCCATACATGGAGTGATTGGGCGAGGCTGCTGTAAGCGGATGCATAATTATTTAATACATTGTGTTCATGATAAATTATGTTAATTGTCCAAACCCACATATGGACCGATTGAGCGTGGCTTTGCACAAATAAGAATTTTCCATACTTTCGGTAAAGTCACGTAAGGTAGAAAAAAGAATAAACGATTTTCCAAGCACGGGAAACGGCAGATGAAGCCGATGTGACGTCACGCGGAGGTGCGTTGTGGAGGGGAGTTCCTTGATGACATGACGTCACTAGCGGGGGGTCACCTCTCGCTACGTCTTGCACCGCGCGGAGTGTTAACATCAGAGACCGAAAGAAAGAGAGCGGGATGAGTGATGCTGAGTGTTGTTTTTAGAATTTAAGTTTATTTAGATTTGTTTTACATTTCTCCATATATATTACAGAGATCCGATAGGTGCGTGAGCTCAGGAACGAAAAAAAACCGTGATATTTTAGGAAACAAGGACAACTCAGGTTAAGGAATACGGATAGTCATCGACTTTACGAACACAATTAGTTCCTGGGACCCGTTCGTACGTTGAACGGTTCATAAGTAGGAACACAATAATGTACTGTATTTAAATGCCCATACGGTCAGTGTTTTGAAACGTGTTACGGTTCCACAAAAAAGGGAACCATTATTCATCTATAAATATACATTTGCATGGGAAAGTGTAAAATAATGGCATGAAGTAAATAAAATAAAGTAACATGAAAACAAAACAATCAGTTTGTTTTACCTTGAGTCCTGATGCTGGTTTGCTTGTACAGGAGAGATTGATGCTTAATTAGAATAGTGATGCAGGCGAGGATGGTGAAGGGCATTTTTCATGAGACTTGCGACACCAGGGGTGGAGGGAATCCTATTACCACCTACATCTCTGCTGTATTGACCTGATCAAGGCTTATTTTACCATGAATAAGCCAGGGCTCTGGGTTGTTCGTTGTGCTTCTCGGAGTCCCTGATTCGCTGCTCACAATTATTAGGGACCTTCATGATAGTGGGTAGGCTTGGGTAAAACTATGTGGCTGGGAGTCAGCGCCATTCCCTGTTCACCTTGGGATGTCCGCTGGCTCCCACATGATTTAACATATTTTTCGACTGCGTAGTTCGCGAAGTTTTCCATGGATGTACTGGTGAAATTTACATCTGGTGCAGATACAATGGGAGGCTGATCGATGCCTGGGTGCGGTCAAAGAATGGCTCCATATTGGTCATCCATATTATGAATGCTGATGATCTGGTGATTGCTGCTCAGAGAAAGAGGCGCTGCTGCTGAGCCTGGAGTGTGTCACAAGGCGGTGGAGACTTACCATCAGCTCCACCAAAACTAATCACCTGCCTGGGTATTTCGTGCCATTAAACACTCCACCCCCTCAACTCTCTATTTGTAATGGAATGTTGAGGGGGAGAATGGAGAGTTTTCCAGTGGAGAGTTTTCCATACCTGGACAGTATGCTTATGACCAGCTCCGGTTTGACAGCAGAGGCCTCACTCCGAATCAATCGGATGGCATCTTTTCATCAGCTGCTTAACGCTGTGTGGATGCTACCTGGTATGTCCCTCTGAACACAAAGCTTTGGGTCTTCTTGGCCACAGTTATGCCCTCACTTTCTTCTATTCTTGCGAAACGTGGATCACTCTAATGGAACATCTGTGCAAGTTAGAAACATTCCGGCTGGCCTGCCTACGATCCATTCTGGGTTTAACCAGGCTGAAATGTGTGAGCTCACCAATATTTGAAAGATCTGGACACATTTCCATTAGTTGAGCTCCTCTGGCAGGAAAGGCTGCATTGGCTGGGTCATGTAGCCTGCATGCCCAGCCACCGCATGCCCAAAAAGCTTCTGTTTGGCTGGATAGGGGGGCAAAATGGGCGTAACACGGGCTGTAAAACAGATTGACTGATGCAGTAGAGGATGATGTGGGGCTGAATGGACTTGCTTAAGACTGGTATCATCGTTGTCAAGATCCGTCTATATGAAGGAGGCTTGTGAAGGACAATACTTGGCAGTTGAAGGCAGTCACCCTTCAATAACGGAGGGCAGATGGGCGATGCTCACAACAACAGGCAGAGTACCGGGTGGCTAAAGTATAGCATGTTGGCACAGTTGGGGGTACAGCTGGTGCATCTGCCAGTCATCTCAGTTAACCCATGGCACCTAGTCTGTTCCACAACGTCCTATCAGCGAGCGTTCGACACTTGACGTGGCCTCAAAGTGCACCTGGCCTGGCAAAAGCGCCATGGGTACATCACTGCCATTTAGTGGCGAATGGCGGATGTTGTGTGTACAATGTGTAGAGTGAGTGTACACTATCTGAGTGATGTGTCTACACCATGTTGTGTGTACACTATGACCATGTACATTGTGTGTCTTCTGTGTGGTCTGAATGTTTACTACGTGTACACTGTGCGAGTGATGTGTGTACAATGTGTGTTGTGTGTGGTCTACGTATTTATTGTGTACACTGGGTGTACGTTGTGTGAGGCTGAGTTGACCTAGGGGAGGCCCAGATCCAGAGCAGATAAGTGTCACGTTAGCATTTTTCTTGTGGCGTGATCGGAGGGCCAGTTAGCTAACTGAAGTAAAACTAGCAAGCACATAACGTAGCATAATTTAAGATTTATTTAAACTTTCTTTCGTGACGTTTAGATTTTTAGATGTAGTGCTTTAGACTTTTTGTTTGGATATTTACTTAGCAGTGTTGTTTTTTAACGCACAATGGCTGAAGGAGAAGAAATAGATTTGGTGGTGGATTTACTGGCAAAGCCTTTTTCGAGAAGAACCTTTCAAGAAAAAGCCGGGCCTGTTGCTAGCTATTATTATTATTATTGCTTGCTATTATTATTGCTTGCTTTAGATCGTTACTGCTGGTGTGAATGATATTCAGAGTCAGTGGCCTGGCTGTGCCTTTGAGTGTGCGTGGTGGCATGTGGCTTTAGGCCCAGCAGCTTGGTTGGAATCTGTGGGGAAGCCTGTTGAATTCTGATTGTGTTATTTGTCCATAATAAAGGTTTTTGGGTTAGATCGCGTTATTTATAAATGTGTTGTAACCCTCCACCACCCGACATGGCCAATCAGCAAAAAAAGTGTCACGTTGACAAAAGACAAATAATTCACTACTTTAGCCCACCGGTGTGTTGAGTGAATCCACAACATTTACAGTTTGAGTACGACGTTTCGCTGGTAATTACATCCAGCATCATCGGGCAATTCGCCAGAATGGTAAAGCCCTCGCTTGCTCCCGGTCTTAAATAGAGCAACAGGGTGACGTCATCATTTAACTCATTTCAGGTGCAGTGATTTGAGGCAGAGGGGGGGTATTGTAATTATGTAATCGATTAGTAATCAGTCAATGGTTATTATTAGTAATGAGTTGTAATGTGTGTTAGTGATTATATGCTATGTTAGTAATCCGTTAGTATGTGTTTCCCCTATAAGGAACTGTAATATGTATTATTTAATAATACGCTTCCAGGCCGCACTAAGCCTGTAGCTGTCAGAGCGATTAAAGTTATTTTTATTCCTCTCAATTTCAATGGATTCTCTAATTAGTCTTTGCCAGTAATAATTAGTTTTACACAACACTTCAACGTTATCAAAATCAATTGAGTGTCCTTGTTGACAAGCATGTTCTGCCACTGCCGACAGTTGTGTTTGAGATAATTTAATATTTCTTTGATGTTTGTTTAGTCTTACGCTGATGTTACGTCCCGTCTGTCCAATATAGCATCTGCCACATAAACAATTAATCCGATATACACCTTCTGTTGATAATTTAGGTAATGCGTCTTTAGTGCAAGATACTAGTTTTTGAATTTTGTGTACTGTACCAAATCTTACTGTAATGTTTTGCTTTTGCAAAACACGGGCTAATTTGTCAGTTACTCCTGAGATATATGGAATTTTTATTGTTTTAACAATCTGATTGCTTTCAGCAGTATTACTTTGCGATCGTGATTTGGCATTCAGTGCTCTGTTAATTTGAGCATTATTGTAGCCATTCTGTCGTAGTGCTTCTTTAACGTGTTTGATCTCTCTCACTAGACTTTCACCATCTGACACTGTTTTAGCCCGATGTATGAGTGTCTTGATAAGAGAGGATTTCTGAGCTGGATGATGATGTGAATCTGCATTCAGATAGGCATCAGTGTGCGTTTGCTTTCTGTAAACGCTGTGTGTTATTTTACCGTTTAGGCCATGTCCAAGCAAAATATCTAGGAATGGGAGTGTGTTATTCACCTCCATTTCCATGGTGAACTGGATGGCCGGGTTTTGTGCATTGAGATGATTTAGAAAATTATTAAGTGTATCTTTACTATTTGGCCAGACAACCAAAGTGTCATCCACATATTTAAACCAAAAAGATGGTTTTAATGTGCTCGAGGCAAGTGCTCTTATTTCAAAGTTTTCCATGTACAAATTTGCTATAGCAGGGGATAAAGGAGAGCCCATTGCTGCTCCTTCCTTTTGTTTAAAGAAATGCCCTCTCCATAAGAAGTAAGTGTTATTTAAACAATGGTCAGCAAGTTTCGGAATATCTTTTGGTAAACCTGTATTATTTACTAGTGTATCAAGTAATTTAAGCGATTCGTTCACTTGAACCTTAGTGAATAGAGAAATCACATCAAAACTTACCAGAATATCATTAGGATTAAGTTTAATATCTTTAATCACATTCACAAGATGTTCTGAATTTCTTATGAATGAAGATGTCCTACCGATGTAGGGCTGTATTTGTTTAGTTATATATTTTGCTAATTGATATGTGGCAGAGCCAATTGTACTGACTATGGGTCGTAATGGGATGCCGATTTTATGAATCTTTGGTAGCCCATAGAGTCTAGGTGGTTTTGAGGCCCTTGGCTTAATTTGGTATTACTCATTCTTAGGGATTAATGAATTTGCAATTATTGCAGTAGTCTTATGTTCTGAAGTATTAGTTGGATCTCGTTTAATTTTAATGTAGGTACTTTCCTCTAGTAAATGTCTAATTTTATT